AGCAAACTTACTTACTCTAAAAATGTTACATCTTATGTTCAAAGCCAAACATGTTGGCACAAAGAATCCAATGATAAAAAGACAGGAAATGAGCTACTCTGGTGGTCCACACCGACTTCCTTAGGGGGGCTTTGGAAAACTGGTAACTATGTAATCAGAACTTAGAGCATCCCACCCCAACAAAGAGACCTCCGTCTCTCTACCACATGACTGTATTTTCTTCAGAACATCTGAAAGGATCGTGAACATCTATGTTTCTCTCTACTAGAGACTAAGTTTTGTGGGGAGTCTTACCTATCTAGTATTCTGCTTTGCTCTCAGCATCAGATGAGTCAGGGTAGGTGCTTGGTACTTGAATGGCTGGGTGAACAGTTTAGTAAGCGGAAGCATGAATGGTTGTCTACAGAATGAAGGGCTAAGTGCTAGCTAGGGTTGGGGGCTATAATATAAGTGACACTAGATAGAAATCCGGGGTTGTTTTCACAGGATAACTAAAGTGCCCACTTTCCTGATAACCTATAAAATGGGGGTCCTTTTGAGGCAAGGCTGATCATGTGGAACTGAAATGTTCTAGATTTTAGAGTGCATCTCACCACAGCACAGAGAGCATTTGCATTCTGTTTCCACATGTACCACGTAAGCTTTAGCAGAATTTCCTGTTATAATAATTGTTTAGAAGGAAGAAATTTGAATATATGAAAAATGCATTTTGCAATTAAAGTTATCCTTAAGGTATTCCCAGAACTGAGATAACTCAGGATTGGGTGGATCCGCTAAAACTAGATACAATGAAATGGACCTTTGGTACCTATCTAGACAGGCCTCTGGAGAGAAAAATGTATTTTCCCTTCTTATCTCAAGTCAAGACACAAGATGTGCATATATGAAAAAATGCACCCTCCTATCTACAAGATCATGATTTTAAATGTACTATTATTGTCTCTTTAATTTTTAAGAGATTATTTTATGTGTATGCGTGTTTTGCTCAATTGTGCACCACAAGCATGCTTGCTATCCAAGGAAGTCAGAATGCATCTGATTCTCCTGGAACTGGAGGTATGGATGGTTGTTAGCCTCCTTTTTGGTGTTGGGAACCAAACCCAGGTCATCTACAAGAGCAACAAGTCCTCTTAACCACTGAGATCTCAGCAGCCCCTTTAATATATTCTTTAGGGACAGAAACTAATTGGTTAACCATGGATAAGCTGGTTAAGCCCAGCCCTGGAAGGAATGAATCATTCCTTCAAATGGGTGCTGCTGACTTTTGAATGAACAAGGTGAGTCTTAGATTAAACAAAGGGATTGGTGAGTAAAACAGCTTCAATGTCCTCTGTCCAGTGATAGCATATGTGGCTTAATATGTGAGGTAGGTACACATGAGAGTGGATGCTCACACTGGCCAAAACACCATGTCAGATTTCCCTAGAGCTGGAGTTACAGGCATTTATGAGCTACCTGACCTGGGTACTGGGAACTGAACTCAGGTCCTCTATAAGAGCAGCAGGCACTCCTAACTGCTGAGCCACCAATCCCACCTTTGGCTTAGTTTCAAATGAACACAAACCACACATTTTCTTTGGTTACTCCTAGCTATATTTCTATTGCCCGGGTAGCCACATGTGTCTAGCTGTCCCCACGCTGATTGCACAGGCCAATTTAATTTCATTAAAGGAAATTCTCCTGGACAGGGTAGTGCTGCTTAGCATGGTGTTTTCAGATACCTCTTGTAGGGAGCTCAACAATTCTTAGTAATCCTCTTCCCTGGGTAAATGATACTCTCGTAAAGGAAAATATGACAAATTCTTTTTTGTTGCCAGAGAAGACAAGATTGAAGTGCTCTCAGTGTGTGTGTGTGTGTGTGTGTGTGTGTGTGTTTGTGTGTTTGTGGTTTTTCGAGACAAGGTTTCTCTGTGTACGACTAGTTCAGTTTATAGACCAGGTTGGCCTATAACTCACTGAGATTCACCTGCCTCTGCCTCCCAAGTGCTGGGATTACAGGTGTGCACCACCACCACCCGGCAAGACTGAAGCTTTTATGGGACTCCCCAAAGAGCTAGGAAAGAAGGAAAGCAGAGAAGGATTCCGAGTTGCTATATTGCAGGGATGATGGGATAAAGGGATACAGGTTCACTAGAGACATTTGTTGCTTGACTAGAACTTGGATAGAAAACACCATAGTGGAGAAAAACTCACTTTGTGTTGATTGAAATTTGATTCTGCTATAATTTTCTTTTTGAAAAGAATCCTGTGCTGGAGGTATGGGTCAGAGGTCCAGTATTTGCTTAGCATGCTAGATACCCAGAAAGATGTAACATATAGGCAGCATGCTTTATTTGTTGAATTAGAGAACAAGGAAAGAAGGGTCTTGGTCTAATTGGGGCCAAAGTTTAAAAAGTGGATGGTTACATGTGGGAGAGAAGGAAAAGGAGTCAAGGCCAAAGTAAAATACAAAAGGGGAAGAACTGAGTCTCTTCTCCATGGAGAGACTCTCTTTATGAGAGTCTTTTCCTACACAGACTTAGGATTCATGTTTGTCATAGTAGAGAATATAATTTCTTATTATCAGAGGAGGAATGTAAAATCACGGACTTTGCCCAAGGGCACTTTCTTGGCCTTCCACTCTCCCGTATCTTACATTGTTGGGCATCTTAGTCATGAAGCCTCTAAAGTCTTCTCTGATTTCTGACTTAACTTTAAATGCAGTTTCTTTTGCCAGCCGTCTGACTTGCAGTCCTGGTACCACCTTTTGTATGCCCAATTATTGGAGTTCTGCAGTATGGCTAACTTTGAATTATTCGGAGAAACAGAGGAAACAGTTCATAGCAGAATGAATCATAGTTCATAAGAGGAAACATTTTCCGAGCACTTACCATGTGCCATGCACTTTGCTAAATCCTTAATGTTTTACATTATCTCAGTTAATCCCAATACAACATTGTGGGGATCCAGGTATCGTTACTTCCATGTCACAGAAGTGGAAAATGAGCCCTAGGTGTCGTAGTGATGTGTACCTGTAATTTTAACCCTTGGTAAGCAGAGGCAGAAGGATTGTGAGTTTAAATCCACTCTGCTGTATATAGTGAGTTCCAAGCTAGGCTACATAGAGAAACCTTGGCAAAAAGAGGAGGAAAAGGAAACCACAAATGACGCACTAAGTCATCAGGTCGAGATTAGATAATTAGTAGCAGGTGGAATCAAAGTTCAAAAATCATCTTTGTCCAACTCTGGAACTTGCTCTTTTATCTACGGCTCGGCATAGGAACTTTTTACACGTATTAATGTTCTGACTCACACTACTCAAAATCAACATAGTATGATCTCCCCCACTGATAGCTTAGATAAACTCATACACTGAACACCAAATTTTTCTTATAAAGTCAGGTGGCTGAGGAAAATTTTGGGGTCATTCTATTAGAAAGGTTTTGTCGCAGAAATGGCGGGGCTTGTCTCAGTAAGTGATGAGCCAAGCCTTGATTCCGGCCTCCTAGGACATTGCTATGGAGATGTTAATGGTGGTAGCTGAGCAGGAACAGAGGGCACAACACTGCTGGAAGAGGCTGAGTGATCATGGTACGGAAACTTCTTAAGGGATTCATAATTAGATGATTAAAAGCAGCCACTTGGCCCCTCTGTTCTTAGGTTGAAAACCAGAGGCGTCTGCTCTCCTACTTGTGACGAGACAGTGAGAAAAGTGCAATTGCAGATAGATGTATGTCATATTATGTGGAAGAGGAACCAGTCTGGCCCTTCTTCCTTCCTCTACCCTCTGTACAGTAACACAAGGGCACTGAGGCTAAATTTTTAAGCAGTGTAAGCTCCTCGTTTATGAATATGGATTTACCTCTTCTAACAGACTAAGATTTCCCAAGGACACAGACGGTTCCCTGGAACCTACGCAAGGGCCTTTACTTACACCATAGGATTGTGGTGCTGAGTGTTTCCAGGCTACATACAAATAACAAGTCGCAGCAAGGGAATGCTGTTCAGTTGCCGTTTTAGAACTTTTGCCCATTTATCTAGCTAGCACTGTTGAAAGTGAGACTTAAACACTGAAACCAAGTACCTAATTATGTGCGGGTAGACTTTGCAACCGAAAGGTGAGAGATACTATGTTTTGAAGGTCTGGTTTTTGTGAACTTGTAAGGCAATGCAAAGCAGAAGGCTGAGCTTAAGTTTTCTTAAAACCTCAAACTTTCATATCGTTTTCTATAAAAGGATTCCGAGAGGGTCAGGTTGAACGAGACGTGCTCCTGCGAGCCTTTCGACGTTGACATCTTGGGATATTACAATAGATATGTCAGTTTGGTACGAATTGCTGCTGATTCAGACCTTACACTCTACATCCAAGTGATTACCTCCCTTTTTAGACAATGTCTGTGTTTGATTAACCCGAATGTCCCTACAACTTAACCACAAGTTATAGGTCCTTGTTGGTAGCCAACAAACGTTTGTCGAATGAATGAATACCTGCTGGCTTAGGTTCTTCGTAGGGCCAGATCCGGCCTTCCAGTTCAGGATCCTGTAGAGGTCAACCCTCACCCGCCAGTGTAAACTGGCGCTTGCCCCGGATATACATAGTTCTCAATGCGAAGGAGCTTGACTTCTCTAACGATCTGTCATAGGCCTCTGCAGACAGAGCGTTTAAGGGAATTAGGGCCAGGCAGGTTGGATCCCTAGACCGCCAGCTTGGTCTCTAAGCAGAGTCCCACGTTTAACCACTGAGGACATGGGATCAAAGAGAGCCGGAACTTTCTGGTAAGCTATGTTGTCCGCGGTAAAACCTTTCCCCCTGTTCCTGTAACAAATCTCGTCGCCAGAACAACAGTGGGCGTCAACAAACGCAGGGCGGAAGTAAGGGTATAGTACACGTCTCCTGCTCAACGAAAGCCCAGGCGCAGGCGCACTAATCTATTTCCGGCTGTAGTTCTCAGTCTAGTGATGCACTCTGCGCCTGCGCATTAATTGTGACGCGCCCAGGCCGACCTATACGCCTGCGTGGGCGTGGCTAGGGCCCGCCAGCGCGCACGCGCGAGCCCCATCCTGCTGTGGTCGTCCGGTGGTCGAAGTGTCCTGCGTTCGTCATGTCGGCGTCGGTGGTGTCCGTCATCTCGCGGTTCCTGAATGAGTACTTGAGCACCACTCCGCAGCGGCTGAAGTTGCTGGACGCCTATCTCCTTTATATACTGCTGACCGGGGCGCTGCAGTTCGGCTACTGTCTCCTCGTGGGCACCTTCCCTTTCAACTCTTTCCTCTCCGGCTTCATCTCTTGTGTGGGCAGCTTCATCCTAGCGGGTAATGAATGATTCTGTGTGCTGGCAGGAGTGTTCCACTTTGGCGCGCAGCGCCGTCCTCACAGTGCCCTTTGGTAGTTTGTAGATGGCCGTCGCCTGTGAAGTCACGCATGCTTTTCTTGGGATTCAGGAAACAGGCTCAGAAATGCTGTTACGTTTCTAATGCCAAACAGTTACCTAGGAGCTGGAACTGAAGATGTAAAGACACTTTTTTCTTCTGGTGATCCACCGCAATTAATAATACTTCTTTAAGGAAACATCCTACTGCAACTTCGATGTAGCTTTAATACAAGTTTAAAGTTGGTAGACCCTTAAATGAAAAAGCCAACCCCGAGCCATTTCTGTCACCTTGGCCTAATCCCCATGCCGTCCAGGGGAAGGCAGGTATAGGGATGTAACTATTGGTGATTGCTTGTGACGCTGGCTATGTGGGTGCTGGCTTTTTAGTTGCGCCCACATATTCTTATGGTTGATGTTCCCCTGTGTTTCTCATCCCCGAGCTCAATTTTTTACTCATACAATTGTGTATTAGCTTTTCTTTCTGGCCTCTGCATTTGGTAATCTTGTAGACTTCCAGATTTAATGAGGATTGGCTCCTGACCTTTCTTGCTCCATGGAATTGAGTGAATCCTGGGAATAGGTTTGGCTCAAGAATGTTATAGTGGATGATGGTCAGCAGTGTCTTGGGGGATTTTTAGCTGTTGCTTTCTGCCCCCACTCTTACCCTCCAGTGAATTAGACTTGGTTAGGTACAGACAAAAATATAGCATTGGATTTCTCTGGACATTTGATTTACAGGGATACCTTCTTACCATAGATCTCACATCACATGTACACATCCACACTGCCAGCTCAGGCGCACTGGGGATAATTCTGCTTTTCAGAACTTAAATAGGCCTCAGGACATCATGACTTGTGCCCCAGTCAGAGTTAGAGCTGCAAAGTTAGCTTGTCAGTAGTCTCAGTCTTTGGATTTTGGTCAAGTTTCTTGGGGTATGTTAGTACCATCAGCCAGACCTGACACACCTCTTTACTGTACCCAGTACTGTTCACAATGATATTAACCAACCAGGAGAAAGAGCTTTGCTGAGTACCTCTGATTTTTTTATTTTTATTTTTGTCTCTGGTTATGGAAGTATAGAAAACAGAGCGGGGCTGGAAGCTGATTTTAAATAAGCCTTCTGTTGAAAGTACCCCGTCTTCAAGAGCCTCTGGGTAATGCTGGCTTCCCAGGACTCCGCAGAAAAGAGTGATCTGCTGAAAAGTTAGGTTGCATGATAAGGTCAAAGAGTTTGGCTTTTTCGTTTTCTTTTTTGCAGATAGTTTTTGCTTATGCCAAGTGCTATTTTTTTTTAAATCTTTCTTTTCAAAAATATTCTTTGTGGGTCTCTATGTATATATAATATATGGTGAAGTGTCAGTACATGTCTGTATGCTGCGTGCATAGATGGAGGTCAAAGAGCAGCAGCATTCATTGGCTAGACTGGACTGGCTGGTTGGCCAGAGAGCCTGAGGGGGGTGTTTTCCTGTTGTGTGGTGAATTGTCTGTCTCCCCCCCCCTCCTGTTCTGTCTAGCTCTACAGTTACAGATGTGAATGCCACCATACCAGGTTTTACATGGATGCTGGGCATCTGAGCCATCGGGTCCTTATGCTTTGATGCAGGCACTTTACCAACTGAGGTAGCTCTTCAGCTCCCAGGCCTGTTTTTTGTGCCTGTTAAGGCTAGAATTGTCAGGTTCCAGTGGGAGCTGTATGGCTTGTTATTGAATAGACTGCTTAGCGAAAGAACACTGTTAGTAGTGAGACGGTGTCAGCAGTGAGGACGTTACTAGTAGGGAGGACATTACTAGTAGGGAGGACATTATTAGTAGGGAGGACATTATTAGTAGGGAGGACTTTATTAGTAGTGAGATTGGAGTCAGTAGCGAGTAGATTTCCAAATCTTTTAGGTAACAGAATGAGAGAAATGAAGAATTTCTGATCATTCATTGTTTCTGCAGAAAGTTATCATTTGCATCCCCCAGCCCCTGTGAACTCAGGGACATTTTGCCCCTGAGCTAAATCCTCAAATCCATCCATCCGTCTGTCCGTCCATCCGTCCGTCCACCCATCTTTTTTTGCACAGTGTGTCAGTGTATAGCCCTGGCTGGGTAGAACTGCTGGTCAGGCTGTCTTGAGCTCACAGAGATCCATGTCCCTTTACTTACTGAGATGTAAGGATGTGTGCCAGGAGCCTGGCTGCCATGTTTCTCTTGGTAGCATTGGGTTTACTAAATCCAACCTCTTTTGCTAGCCCAGACCATTGTCTGGTAACTTGTTTTAATGAAAATTTTGAAATTTGGCTGTTTAGCCTTTGTTCCTATTGTTGAGACAGGAAATCTTATACCTGCTGAAGTTTTGTTTTGATTTTTTCTCCCTGTGTTTTTTGTTGGAAGACAATGGAAGGGGCAGTTTAACTGGTGAAGGGAAGTTGTAGGAAATCACGTTGGAGGATTTTGAAGGACCACGTAGTGCTGAATGCTCAAGCTTTGGTGTCAGACCTATTACTATAGGAGATCATCTGAGAATTAAACACGAGAACATGGGCCAGTGAGATGTCTCGGTGGGTGAAGGTGCTTGTCACCAAGCCTGAAACCACCGAGTCTGACCCATGGGACCTGCGTGATGGGGGGAGAGAACTGACCTCTGCAAGTCGTCCTCGCTCCTCCACGTGTCTACACTACACTAAGTGAATCGTGAGTGGACGCATGGGCAGCCGTCCACAGCAGTTCTTTTTTGGAAGTAAAGGACAGACTTGTAAGTTGTTGCATGAGTTGGAGAAGGATGCTCTTTCGCTTTGACTCTTCATTAGTGCATGTGTGCATTTGCTCTTGGAAATTGGTCAGTATGTTTTAAATCAGTTTAGAACACTGCCGTCAAACTTTTAAAAGTCTGATGAGACACGGTGGTGTCTTCTGTCTCCTCATGGCTGGGCGACTTATCAGGGTCTCGGGAAGAGGGTGGAGGTTACTGGCCGCCAGGATGAGCTTGTTCAACAGTATAGTGCAGTAGGTTTTTTTAAAGGACCTTGAGGGAGTAATTTTACTTTCCTGGTTCATTCTCACAGCAGACTGTTTATCTTATGGTTAGCTCTCCCTCGAGGAGGGACATCTGTCGCTTCTGAGTTAACATTCCAGTGTTGGCAGCTTTCTTAGTTTCCTTTTTTTACCTAACTGAAATCTGCTCATTTCAAGTACTGGTAAGTGGGAAGTAGTTAAGTCTGTCCTTAAAATGAGTATGGCTAAAAATACATCTTAGTAGGCAAGTACTCTATCACTGAGCTTCAAGTGGATTGCTGAGTCTTGTTGACTGCCAGCTCAGGTTCAGTGAGAGACCCTGTCTCAAAGGGTGAGAGAGAGCAGACACTTGGTGTCCTCTGGCCTTTGAAAGTATGCACACACAGGCATGTGTGCATCTACACACACACACACGTACATACACTATGCACACACACCACATCCGTACACTTAATGTAAACATGCACGCACACACACAAACAATAAATTTAAGACATTTACTAAACAAAGTTTTAGTATCGCAGTTAAGAAATCCCAAAGGAATTTGAGTTTGAGAAACAAGGAGACTAATCCAGAGTATCTTTTGTCTTAAGGGAGTCATTGGCTTCTGTGGACTGGGGTCTGGCTACTTGAGGGAGTGTCTGTTAGATTTGTGGACTCCTCTGAGCTGCTATCCAGGAGATGGAAATTTGCCAACCTCATGGCTGACTGTCCTGTTTCTAAATGTCCTATCCATCACTACTTTTTATTCTCGGTACCTCTGGCTGCATCTTGACTGCGCAGCCTCTGGTATTGTTTAGCTTGATCTGACTCTCCAGCCTGACTGTGCTGCTTAACCACATTTGGCTGTGGTTCCCAAAGTCGAGTTTTTGGTTTGTTTGTTTGTTTGTTTTTCATGACTTGTTTTTTCATGTTTGTTTTTTCTCTTTTGGGAGCCAGCCTCATTGATTCCTTCCTCTTCATCGCAGCCTCTGCCCTTTATGCTCCGGAATCAGGAAGTTACTTACTGTCCCCTGACTGATGTCAGGCTCTTGTGCCTTCACTTGGCACTCTTTCCCTCTCAGTTCGATGCTTCCCCCTGTGAAGAACCTTTGCTGACCCTCCCAGCTGAGCCAGGGCTCTGTGTCCTTGCTTCATTCTGTGTCTGTCGGGGATGGGGTGGAGTTAAGGAAGAAGAGAGATGGGACTTTCCCATCAGGCTGCATGTGTTGTGTTGTCTGCCCTCTAGAAGGCAAGGGCAATGCTTCCACCCCCGCATCCTTGCTTAGCACTGTGCGTGTTAACTGTGGCCTGTGTCTTAATTTAAGGAGCATGGAGGGCTGTTTGCCAGGCTCTGCTCGGGTGCTGCACGTTCACCTGTGAGGAGCACAGATGCTGCCCTGCACTTCCGGTCTGAAGGGAATTGGAGGCAGTGAATGAAGCAGCGCTGCTGAGGATGGGAGCAGCTGGGCTACCGGCCCGCCCAGTGGTCCTGCAGTGTCCCTAGTGTGTTCACTGTCCCAAAATGTGCTTCGTGACCTCTCACTTTTCTCCGTTCCTTCGGCTGTCTTCACGGTTTATTTTGGTTTTCAGTAGCAGAGTGAACGTGGCCAGGAGCCCCTTCATCGTCCATTGAATCTCAGCGGCCGCCTGCCCCGTGCCTGTGCTCTCTGCTTCCCCCTGGGGTGTCATATCCCTCTCTTGTCAGCTGCCAGCTCCTCCGCTTACTCAGGGGAGCTCGTGTCCTCTTGTGGCCGGATGACTTCTGAGTTATCTCTTTGTTCAGCATCATGGGTTTTCTCTCTCTTGAATCATTCTTATCTTTTAAAGATGCTCTAATGTTGTCTAATTTGAAAAAGTTGAACCAGGCGTGGTGGTGCACACTTTAATCCTAGCGCTTGGGAGGCAGAGGCAGGAGGATCTCTGTGAGTTTGAGGCCAGCCTGGTTTACATAGTGAGTTTCA